ACAACAGAATAAAAGGGTAAAAAAAATAAAATTGTTATTCTTTCTTCAGTTAAAGAAAAGAAAAGAACATTTCTAGGGCAATACCTGGAGCTTATTTTAATCGTCCTTTCTTTTCTTTTTGTTACTAGTACTGGGGATGGTACTCAGGGCCTAGCACATATTAGGCAAGCGTTCTACCACTCAGCTACATTGCTGGTTCTGTTTTATTTTTTACTTTATTTTAATTATTATTTTTTATTTTACATGGGTCTTTTGGGGGGAGGTGGAACTGGGGATTGAACTCAGGTCCTTGTGCTTGCCAGGGAAGCGCTTATTCCACTGAGCCATCTCCCCAGCCCCTTACACGGGTCTTGCTAAGTTATCCAGCCTGGCCTCACACTTGCAGTCCTCCTGCCCTAGTCTCCCTAGTAGCTGGGATTGCTATCTCACTCAGATTATCCTCCTTTAGATGATAATTTAGTCACACAACTAATAGGTGAGTACAGTTTCTATGTAAAATATTGCAGGTAAGCCCCAAGTAATCCTGTCTGACCCCCTCAATCCCAGCCCCTTGAACCTGATGAGACATTATAGTATAACGGCTAGGATCACAGTGCCCCTGCCACTTACCAACTGTGACTTAGAACAAGTTCCCTAAGCTTTCTGTTTCTGTCACCTGTACAATCAGGGTGATAACAACCTCATAATTACAACACACTCGGGGTATTGAGTGACTTCGTTCCAATAGTACACTTAGAACAATGCCTGGCACCTTGTTAAATCATCAATGCATGTGGACCATTCTGATCACCCCATTGGGCTCAGCCTGGAGATTTCAAGGGAATCCCTCATGCAGATGTTACCAGCACTCCTTCCACCATGCCAGCAAAGCAGGCCCAGTGACTGTCCTGCCCTCTGCACTCTTCAGGCCCCAGCCTGTAGCCCCAGCACTTAGTGAGAGCTTGAGTCCCAGTAGGATTCTGAGCTGAACAAAAAGGGATGGAGGAAGGGACAGGGCCCAGTCCTTGGGCCTCCCTGTGACTTGAGCCATCCCCCCCATCCTGGGGCCCTACCTGGGCCCCAGGGGACATCTGGCCTGGCTGAGCCTGCTCTTCTGATAGCTCAGTCTGGTTGCCATGCAGGGGATTTGGGAGCAGGGCTCCTGGGGGACATTCTGAGGACTATGAGGGAGAGGAAGAAGTGGCCCTTGTCCCTGGCAGACTGGCCCAGCAGACAGTTAGAGGGGCCCTCCTTCCTGTGAGGGTCTGGGGCCAGGGCTCAGATCTCTGAGCCTCCTATCTCCCCAAACCACAGCCGAGAGGTGTGAAAGAATGAAAAATAACAAGGGGAGGGGTGGCACAGAAGAGCCAGGTGCACATTTCACACCTTGACCACAGGTGGGGCCCGAAACAGCTTCATTCTGACTAACTTCCTCTTCAGGCTTCCCTGCTGACTATTCTGAAGGGAGAAGCAGGAGGGTACAGCCAGAACTCACATTTGGTCCTTGTTCTCCGCAAATGCTGGGCCTGGTTCTGACCTGTTCTGGGGCCCCTTGGAGTCTGGTTTTGACCTGCTCTGGGGGCCACTGGGAACTGGAAAGGACCAAATTAGAGGAGCAGACGAGGGCTCAGCTCAGCCCCATGACACAGGAAGTTTCCAAGGTATGTCAGCTGTGAAAGCTGGCAGAAGGCCGCCACAGACCTGCTATTCTGAGACTCAGGAGAGGTCAGTTCGGAAAGTTACTAGAGAGGAAGGAGATGGCTGCATGACGGCTGCCTTGCTGCACCACACACAAAATGTTTGCGGTCAGCGGAGTAACCCTCTCAAATAGATACTATCCTTATATCCATTTTGAGATAAAGAAACTGAAGCCCAGAGATGAAATGATTTGTCTAGGATCACCCAGCTAGGCAGCCAGAGGATGTGGCTAGCATTAGAGGACTCTCTCCCCAACCCAGTCAAAACCAGGGTTCTCCAGGCCTTCAGCCACTACCCTACCTACCCAGCCCACAAGGCACCATTGTCTGTCACAGTCTCCCCTGATATGCAAGGTTCCTGAGGGCCCTAAGTCTGTGGCCATAATCTCACTCTTTTAGCTTTTCAGTTGTGGTCCTGTTAAGCACTTAGCCCTGCACTAGGAGCCTTGAGTCTCAGTTATCTTGATTTATCTTGCAACAACCCTACTTAGGAAACCAGCTCAAAATGCTTCTGTGATTTGTCCAAAGTCCCACAGCTCAACAGAGGGGGACTCGGGCCTGGAGTATAGATAAGCTCAGCCTTGCTACTTTTGCATCACTGTCACACAGGTCACCCCAAGAACAGAAAAGCCCACCTAGTCTGTCAGGAGCTGATCCTGACGCTGGCTGCTGGGACTCAGCAAGGAAAGTTCTCCACATTCTTCCAAAGCTCCTGCTCTGACTTTCTTCTTTGTACCTTTCCTGGAAGCCAGGGAAGGTGGGGTTCATCATCATGAAGAGACTGGAGCCCAGGAAGGAGGCCAGGGACCCCTAGAGTTTAACATTTCACGCAGACCAATAATAGCCCAACATCTATTTGGAGGACTCACAGTGGATTGTCAGCTTCTGCCAGCATAACATATTTATGAAGCAATTAGTTTTTCTGTCATTTTTTTCATTAACTTTATTGAGAATCAATAATTACATATCATATTAAAAATTGTAGGCAAATATTGAAATGTGAAAGATATAAGATGTAGACAGTGAATTTTAGAGAAATATTCCTGAAAATGAATACATAGCATGAAATTAATAATAGATTGTACATTGTAAATAAATTATTTGCAAACTTAAATGAATATAACAATAAAAGTTGTCCAAAATAAAAATGAAGAAGAAAGAATCTATAGATCAGTCATAATAGTTCACTCTGTGTCAAAATCAAGAAACTTATATTTATATAATTAGAATTCTCGGGGCTGGAGAGATGGCTCAGTGGTCTAAAGCACCTACTTGAAACAAGCTTGGCAAAGCACAAGGACCACGGTTCAATCCTCGAGCACCACATGCCAGCCAGCCCCGCCCCCTGGTGGGCTGAGCTGGCCACACACACCCACACACAATAAATAAATGTAATAAATAAAAAAATAAATAAATATTTAAAAAAAAAAGAATTCTCAAAGTAGAAAAGGGTAGGCAATAAGTATTTAAAGATTTAAAATTTCTGAATTTAGCTGAACTTATAACACATTTCCAAGAAAAATGAACCTAAAGCAAAGGTCCTTTTTAATACCAAAATTGGATGAAGAACATAACTAGACTGAGTCCTTTAAAACTAGCCAATATAGGGGCCGGGGAGATGGTTCAGTGGAATAAGCACTTCCTGCAAGTGCAAGGGCCTGAGTTCAATCCCTGGTTCTGAAAAAAAAAAAAAAAAAAACTAGTCATTATAGTTTTTTGTGAACATCATTCTCCTTTGTAGAAATCTAGTGACCTCAAACCCCTTACAGAACAGCATGTAGAACCCGTGTCTCAGCTCCTGTCCCTTTTCCACCTCCATAGTCTGTGCTTTCTGAGTGCTACCTACATCCCAACTGGCCTGGTGTCAGAAATCCTCCCAGCCCCTCACCTTGCACTACTCCTCTAGACCCTCCGAACCCTCTGGACTAAACTCGGCAGGTGACAGGCTATTTCAAAGCAAAGTACTTCATCTGCCCACAGAAAGAGGAAAAGGACCTTGCTGCTGGGCAAGTCGTGTCAATAAGCTGGACCCAAATTCCAGACAGGAGCCTGGAGCCTTGGGCAGAGCATCCAACCGAAAACTGGACCGCAAGGCCATGGGCTAGCATCTGGGGAAGAGAAGTAATGAGGAAGCTGCTTGGAGGGGGCAGGTTAGGATCAGTCTTTCCACTCAGAAGGACAACAGGGCAACAAGGAGTGAGATGAGGGGGAGGGGAGCTGTGGGAAGGTGGAAGAGGAACTGTTCCATACTCTCAACCATGAGGTGCTTGATTAGGTGGACTAACACCGCCCAGTAGCTTTTCCTTAAAATCAGCACACCTCCCCAACTTCATTCTTTTTCTTCCCACCGAAACAAATACTGTTGTTAATTTGTGGTCTCTAGTCTTTGTCTTAAACTTTGAGAACAAACTTACGCCTGTATCCAAAACAATATGGTGTTGTCTTATGTGGTGGTTTCTAGAATTTACATAAGGAGTGTCAAATTGTACACAGTATTCTATAGCTTGCCTCATCCTTCTTGTGAGCAATGGCTTCTCTAGATGTATTCATGTTAAAAATTACACTTAATTTTATATTGAGCTGAGTGAATTATCAGTTTATCCATTTGAAAGAAACAGAAGGCAGGGTGAGGAGTACTAAGAGTCAGACAGCCGTGGGCTCAGCCCCCACACTCTCCCATACTTGTGTGTCTGATGAATCACCCAAGGGGACAGCCCGCCACTTCACAAGGGACTTAGGTACCTGGGATGAAGCAGTGTCAGAGAAAGGATCTAAAGCAACATCTAGTATATAGCAAGTTCATTCTTAATGGTTTCCTCTCCTTTCCCCTGCTGATTATTAGGGAAGGGTGATGGCAAAGAACTAGACAGATTTCAGGTGAAGGATTTCTTCAAAATATTTTAGTTTTTCAGGAAGGCTAATTTTGTGATGTAGTCTGTACAATCACATGAAGATTAACTCCAGTCCAGGACTGATGAGCACACCAGCAAACTTATTAAGCATTGACCAGGAGGAGGAGCAATTCTTGCCTCTGGCAGCAGGGCTGTCCCTTTCTTTCCACTGTGGCTTCCCCTTTAGATCTCCCCCTTAGAAGGACCTCCCCTCACCCAACCATGCTGTACCCTTCCCTATGGCCCAGTATTTCTGGTCCTAGGTTCACAGCAACCCCTCCAGATAGGCTTCACCCAGTCACAGGAATGCCTGAGCTAGGAACTCTGTGACCTGGGACTGGATAGGTCTTTAGATCTTCCAGCCTCTGGAAGAGGTTGTGCTGAAAACTGCATGAAACCCTCACTTCCTCTGTGCACTGCAGGTTCCCAACCACAAGCACCAAGGCAGAAGGGCAAGCAGCACACAACCCTAGCAACCAGAGCACCAGCACAACCATGGTCCATGAGGTAAGTGCTGCTGCCCAGCCCGGCCAGAGCACTGTTCAGAGGGGCTACTTCAGGGCACTAGGGACAGGCCAGGGCTAATCTAGAGCCTAGGGGGAACCAGGAGGTTGATTGGGAGAGTAGGTGGAGGCTATAGGTGCTGTGATAAGAGTGGTAGATAGGGAACTGGGAATTGAACAGCTTGGCCATTGACTACAGGCAAGTGTTCTCCCCTACTCTGGCTTGGGCACCTCACTTCTAAAATGGAGGGGTGCTGGGGTGGTAGAGGCTGAACCTCGATGACCTCTAAATCTCCCTTCAGCTCTGACTTGAAACTTTGGCTCTTTCATCTGGTTTGAACTGGCACTAGAGAGACCTGCAGCTTAAGGAGGGACTATGGGGAGAAAGAAAACCCCAGCTGGGCATAGTGGTGCACCTGTAGTCGCAGCTACTCAGGAGACTGACACAGAAGGAGCCAGAAGTTAAAAATCAGCCTGAAAAGCAGAGAGAGACCCTGTCTCAAGGAGGAGGAGGAAGTCTGGACCAGATAGTGAGGTCAAGGCCAGCCTGAACTACATAGTGAGACCCTGTCTCAAACAAACAGGAGGAAGAGGAGGAGGAGGAGGAGGAGGAGGAGGAGGAGGAGGAGGAAAAGAGAAGGAGAAGAGGAAAGGAGGAGGAAAAAGAAAAAAGGAGGAAGAAATAAGAAGCCTTCTAGAGTCCCCCCGTGGGCAGTGAAGTGGGCATGCAAGCCTCTGTGTAGGGGACAGGAAGCACAGGGCAGAAAGCACACATTTGGGGAAGGGGCACAGTGATTTGTGGACACGCTCCATGATGCCTCAAACAAGAGCTGAGGAGGGAAGGAAAGAGCCAGTGAGTGGGAGAGGAGACACCTGAGGAAGCAGGTGGCTGACCTAGGTGTGGCCAGGGCCAAGGCTAGCAATGCATGAAGGAAGAGCAAAGGGAGAGGAGGCAGCCAGGAGGGACCCGGCCCCAGAGGGAAGCTCTTCTTTCCACCCAGGATCCCCGGGCCTATGGGGTGGCCCAGAAGAAGGAGGAGACACAGACTTTGGAAAGGGAAGTCACCAGCCTGGAGCCCAGGCTGGGCAGATACAGATTAGGAATGGTGGCCCAGGGAGATAGGTGTGACAGTTACAGGATCTGTTCCAGACCTCAGGGCCTGTCTTACAGAGGAACTGCTCAGAGAAACTCTCATCAAAGTCACAAGCCACAACGTGGGGGGGAGAGCTTGACATAGCCCTGGCCTCCCTTGCCTCTTCCATCCCTCCTGCAGGTGAGTGAATGTCAAGTGCTAGATGTCTCAGACATTGCCGCCTTCCTGGAAAACTCCAGCTTTCCCTATGACTATGGAAAGAACGAGAGTGACTCCTGCTGTGCCTCCCCACCCTGCCCACAGGACTTCAGCCTCAACTTCGACCGGGCTTTCTCTCCAGCCCTCTACAGCCTCCTCTTCGTGCTGGGGCTCCTGGGCAATGGTGTCGTGGCGGCCGTGCTGCTGAGCCAGCGGGCCGCCCTGAGCAGCACCGACACATTCCTGTTTCACCTGGCTGTGGCTGACACACTCCTGGTGCTCACACTCCCATTCTGGGCAGTCAACGCTGCTGTCCAGTGGGTCTTTGGCTCTGGCCTCTGCAAAGTGGCAGGCGCCCTCTTCAACATCAACTTCTATGCAGGGTCCCTCCTGTTGGCCTGCATCAGCTTTGATCGCTACCTGAGCATAGTGCATGCCACCCAACTCTACCGCCGGGGGCCCCCGACCCGCGTGGCTCTTACTTGTGCAGTCGTCTGGGGGCTCTGCTTGCTCTTTGCCCTTCCAGACTTCATCTTCCTCTCAGCCTACCACGACAACCGCCTCAATGCCACCGTCTGCCTGCACAACTTCCCACAGTTTGGCCGCACAGCTCTGCGTGTGCTGCAGCTGGTGGCTGGTTTCCTGCTGCCCTTGCTGGTCATGACCTACTGCTATGCCCGCATCCTAGCTGTGCTGCTGATCTCCAGAGGCAGGCGGCGCCTGCGAGCCATGCGGCTAGTAGTGGTGGTAGTGGTGGCCTTTGCCCTCTGCTGGACCCCCTATCACCTAGTGACTATGGTGGACATCCTCATGGAACTGGAGGCACTGGCCCACAACTGTGCCCTACGAAGCCACATAGATGTGGCCAAGTCAGTCACTTCAGGCCTGGGTTATATGCACTGCTGCCTCAACCCGCTGCTCTACGCCTTTGTGGGGATCAAGTTCCGAGAGCGTCTGTGGACTCTGCTCACGCGTCTCGGCTGCCCTGCTCTGCAGGGGCAGCCGTCATCTGCCCGCCGAGACTCTTCCTGGTCGGAGACTACAGATGCCTCTTACTCAGGCTTGTGAGACTGGGATGGGGGTACCCTTCAGCCCATGCAGACTTGCCCCACATTACAGGCTCACTCCTTTTCTCACTGGGAGGCATGCTCCAGCTCTCTCCACAGCTCTGTCCCTGGAGCTCCTTGGCAGCTCCAGCACTGCCAGCTCTCCCAGAGAACTGCACCCCCTCAACCCTGGGGCTAAGCCAGTGCTACTCCCCAGCTTCCAAGCCCCTCCTGCCACTTCAGAGGTGGATGCCCAGAGCTCCAATGCCCTTCTAACTCAGCAACTAGAACTTGGCCTTTCCCATCTGCAGGAAGAAAGAGGCAAACAGTATAGACTGTCATCCTGTGAGGATGTGGCCTGGGTCACTAGCTCAGCAACAACAGTAGCAGCGGTTCCCCAGATCTCTGTATTTTCCCTCTTTTATTTTTCATGTCTAAAATCCTGCTTAACATTTTTCAATAAACAAAATAATCAGGACCAGGGTGGTTTAGTAGTCATCCTTACAGTCGGCCCTGACTGGACTTGGAAATGAACTTTCTGCTTCTTCTCACCTGGACCTGGAAGCCTTGGCCAGAGCTGATGATGGTAGTAATGCTGGCCTCTGCCCTCTGCTGGGTCCCCTCTCTATCCCATGGTGGTACTAGCAGATACCTTCATGGGCCAGGGCAGCAGCATGAGCTGTCAGACAGCTGGCTGTCCGGACACTATCTGGGCATAATTTGGGGAAGGCATCACTAGAGGTGGGTAAGACATAGGCCCTGAATCCCCAGGTCAGGCCAGCAGAGACTATGTGACAGTGTCACCAGCTAGTGTGCCTTCTTAACTGCACATAACATGGAAATCAGATGTGGACTAGTTCTTGAGCCTGTTGACAACCATCACTGTTGGTCACTCTTGTTCAGGGCCCTCTAAAGGGGATGGCCCCCAATATAGTACCAGCTTTCACCACGTTAATAATCAGCTGAAAGGGGATATGGAGATAGCTCAGTAGAATAAGCACTTGCCTGGCAAGTACAAGGGCCTGAGTTCAATCCCCATTTTCAAAAAAAAAAAAAAAAAAAAAGTATAATAATCAGCTGAAGGCCGGGGATATGGCTCAGCAACATAATCTCCTGCATGGTAAGCACAAGGTATCTCCCAGTACCAAAAAAAAATCAGCTGAAGATTCTTGCCCAGTTTGGATAGAAATCATGAACTGGTAAGTGCTGTTAGCAGCTCCAGGCTTTCAATACCAATAGGTCTTCCCTATTAGTGTTATAGCTCCAAGCTCTGAGTGCCAGCATCTCTTAGCGCTCAGCGCCCTAGCTCCTGGTAGCTCTCAGCCACCCCACTTAGTAGCCAACAGCTCGTATCCACTTACCAGCTCTCTAGAACTCTTGCAGCAGCTTCTGGCACCTCTCTGGGGCTCTTCCACAGACCTCTGCCAATCTTGGCTCTTCACTGCTCTCGTTTCTGGAGTTCTTCAGCAACCCCCTGGCTGCTAGGCATGCTCAGGGCTAAGAGCCCTTAGTGTTGCCAGCTATTAGTGCAAACCACTCAACACTCTCTGACAAAAAAAAAAATCACAAGTAGGCAGTAAGATCACCTGAGTAAAGTTTTATTGGGGCCTGTGCTCAGCACCGAGGAAAGTGCACAAGACAGTGTCACCTGGGCTGACCAAAGGTAGGTGAGGGAACAATGCTGAGGAGCTCATGTGGTCTCTTGCATGTCACTGACCTCTTTTGGGAAGTTTCAAGTAGGAGAAGGAGGCAAGGTCATTTGAAGGCAGCAGGGCAGAGTCATCTGGGATAGGTCTGTGTCCGAAGCCCATTGAAGCCAAGGCAAATATCTCCCATAGGACTGCTGGGTGTCTGGGGCAGCCTTTGCTGCCATGGTGACACCTTGGGTGAACTGTAGGAGAAGCTGCTGTTTGACTGTCAGCTCCCTGGAGTCATGACTGCAGCTGCTTTGAGTTTTCAGGAGGCAGGAGTGCTGAACATGGCGCAACAGGATTTGGAGATTTTAAGGATAATGGCTGTGCTAAGTCCATCTGCAATTTTTGTCCTGTTACATATGGTCCTCCAGCCACTCCTGAGAGGCAGCAGCAGCAGCACCTCATTAGCCCTGAGTGGGGAAGGGGCATCTCAGTTGGACAAGCCTTGGGCTCCAAAGTAAGCCAAGGCCTGGGGAGGGGGGCTTGAGGCAGTTTTAGAGAGCAGGAAGACACTGAAGCTAGTTGTTCCTGGCCACCCTAGAGGAAGCGGTGGGGGGGGGGGGATATGATAGCCACTGCCATAAAAGGGAAAGAATAGAGTTGGCTCTCATTTTCCTACCTCCGTAGGAAATAGCAGTACCAAACAGTCTGTGACACAAGACAAAGGAACGGAACATAGTAAATCCAGGACTCAGAGCATGAAGGCCGAAGCCTTCCTGGAAACTTAAAGCCAAGTGGTATTTCTGAAGGTAAAGAGAAAAGGAGTATTCTGAGGCATCAAGGAGGGCAGTAGCAAAAAAAAAAAAAAAAAAAAATTAAAGGATGCAACACCCAATCATTACAACCATCAATTTGAAAAAAAAAAAAAAAAGGGCAGTAGAAAGGATGACAAGGCTAAAATCAATTTGTGTATGTGTGTGGTACTAGGCAGTGGACCCAGAGTCTTCACACCGCTACATCCCCAGCTTTTGTTTATTTTTGACAGGGTCTTGCTAAGTTGCCCAGGCTGGGCTCAAACGTGCAAGCCTCTTGTTTCAGCCTCTCAGGGTACTGGGACTACAGGTGTGTGCAAACCATTCTTGGCTTGTCTTTTTGAGATGGGGTCCTGCTATGCAGTTCAGGCTGATCTCAAACTCACAAAGATCCTCCTGCCTCAGCCTCCTGAGTGCTGTGATTACCAGTGTGCACCATGCCCAGCTTCTTGGCTTCTTATGGGGGAATTGTAAGTGGTACCAAGTGGCTACAGCTAAGTCTTTAGGTAGAGGCAAAGTTGAAAATAAGACCAAGAGGTAAACTGGAATCATAAACCAGTCCAAAGGCCGTATGTCATTCAGTAATGTGAGAGCTGATGGTTCTTACTAGGGAAATGGCAGTGGGCCTGAAAAGCAACAAAGCCTTGACTTGCCAGCAGTCACCAAGTAGCACACAGTCCAGCAAGTGGGCTATACAGAGCATTTTCCATGGCTACTTCTGAGGTTGCAGTGAGTGGAGGAAATAACTGGAGCTAAGGTAGAGTGTGAAAGTGCAGACCTAGGCAGGGAGATAGCTCAGCAGCATAAGTGCCTGCCTGGCAAGGTCCTGAGTTCAATCCCTGGTACAAAAAAAAAAAAAAAAAAAGACAAGAAAGTGCAGACCTATGGTGCTGTCAACTCTCTCCATCATGAAGTCACATGACCTAGTTTGACAGGGTAGCTGAGCCCTTGCTGAAACTGCAGTTATGGCTATAGCTGAGGAAGGTCTTTCTAATCCTACATATACACATCTCTAATCTTATCTAGCCTCAGAGTTACAGGCTTTTCTGCAAAAAAAAATTGTCAGAATAATAGAACCTGACTATAAAACATAATAATGCTAGACTAGTAAAGATATTTGTGGCAGGCCCAAACATGGGGCCTCCCCACCAGCCACACTCCAATACCCACAACTTGAGAATAGGTTAACTTACATGGAGAGGAAACTGTGCTTCCTAATTAGCTGACTTTAAGATTCTCTGTTGAGCTGGACATGGTGGTACACACTGGTAATCTCAGCATTCAGGATGTTAAAACAGGAGGATTGCCATAAGTTTGAGGCCATCCTGGGCTACATAGTGAGTTTAAGGCCAGTCTAGATTACCCATTAGAGCCTGTCTCAAACAACAAAACAAGCACATACACACAAAACAAATTCCCCTGGATTATCTATGTGGATTTAATGTGATCATAAGGGTCTTTAAGGGTGAAAGAGAGAGGTAAAGGGCAGAGCAGAGAAAGAGATGCTGCTGCTCCTGGCTTTGAAGATGGAAGAAGGGGCCATGAACCAAGGTATGTGGGTGGCCTGGAAAAGACAGGGAAATGGATTTACCCACAGAGCACCCAGAACGGAATACAACCCTGTCAACACCTTGATTGTAGGCCAAGGTAACTACTCTCAGAATTTTGATCTCCACAACTGTACTGTAATATGTTCGTGTTGTTTTAAGCTACTAGGTTTATGGAACTTTGTTGTGGCAGCCAGAGGAAACTAATACAGTGCCAGTACCAGTCCACATCCTGGATATCACTGCTTGAAGCCCTTATGGGCAGTCACACAAGTAGGAGAAAAGGCGTAAGTAGACTTTGCTAATAAGTGAGATGCAAAAACACATATTTTATTTATTTTGTTTTCTGAACAAGTACAGAATTCATACAGTTTCACTCACTGTCATCAGCAGCTAAGTCTCTGAAACACATGTGCCTTACAGGTAGGCAGGTGGAACATACCGTGACTACTCTGGCTTTGAAGTGCCGACTTTAAAACTTATGCTTTTCAGTGTTATTTTCATCCTCTCAACCCACCACTCTCAAAAACTCACTTTACTTCTGTATTTTGTTCCATATGTTAAAATTATGCAGTACAAGTAAGACCAAAGCTGGACCCAAAGGCCTTCAGGGTATTCTCAAGGGTACAATAAAACCTTTGGTAAAAACAATTATCATTAATAAAATTAATCTAAAAATACATATAAACTCTAATATTAATAACTTCTAATATTAATAACTTCTAATATTAATAACTTCTCCAAATGTTTCTAGGACTTCTTGTCAGTAAAGGGCTCAGCCAACAGAAATGTACTCTGGGGCTGGGGATGCCGCTCAGTAGCTGAAGTCCTGAGTTCAATCTCCGGTACAATAAATATATAAAACAAATACATACATACATACATACATAAGTAAAACAAAAAAGAGTGAAAGTAATTATTTTAATGTGGCAGAAACATACTCTCAGGCAGCCTTAACAATTTTTCTTTTGTTTGCTGGCAGCGTAATCCCGGCTAAGCTTTCGCATTACTTCGCTATGATTAAGACCCGTTTCCAGGAACACTGTCCTATAATTCTCTTGCACGTATTTGCTAAATGGTCTCACATGAGGCTGAATGGGGGTTCCATCTTTCCGAGTGAGCGGCAGCAAAACCAGAGGGCCCTGGCACAAACTGCAGACGAAGTACTTGGTGTTTAATGATCTGGTGTAGCGGCCAATCCTAGGGAGGAAAAGGACACCACATAACACACAAATCAGTCACCACAGTATCAGCTCTGAGACATTGGTCTTGGGCCCAAAGTGAGAATTTTTGTGAGTGCTGAGTGGGACTCTGAGCAGCAGCAGGGGTCAGGCTGGCTCAAATTAATAAACAGAACATAGAAATAGGGAGGTTATATGCATAATCCCTATAATCCCATCACTTTGGGAGGCTGAGGCAAGAGAATCACAAATTTGAGCCCAGCTTGCAATTTAGCACCTTAGTGAGCCTCCATCTCAAATTAAATGGAAAAAGAGTTGAGTATATAGTTCATTGTGAAGTCCTTATGTGCAATCTCCAGTACCCCCCACCCAAAAAACAAAGACATACGGAAGTCTACTTCGCAAGTCAAGTAGCCTTTGACTTATTCCTACAATGACCAAAGAACCATTTGGAGACTGAAACAAAAAGGTAACTGGAAAAAGTCTGAGAAAAAGTCTTACCTGGCTTTGCACTGTTTGCATTCATAATAAACCTTATAGTTAATATCAAAATTATGACATCGGGTCACCAAGGGCACCTCCGGGTGTATCCAGTTGGCCTTGCGAGTGAAATACTTCCACACAGCTCCATGAGATACCTTACTGCCACCAATTATCCAGGCAGCTGCATGGCATAGTTCATGGATCAGAGTGTCTCGGAGTCGGTCTTTGAAGAGAAAGGAAAAGAAATGGTGAGCACTAAAACTGATTCTGGTCTGCTACCTAACAACCCTTTGCCTCTCATGCTCAGCAGGCACAAGGCAGCTTACAGAAGTATAAACAGGCAGGCAGCCATAAGTGTCATCTCAGAATTTTGGTTTGGTTTTTTTTTTAATTTTTTTTAACTATTTTCTTTTTTGGTACCAGGAATCAAACTCTGGGCCTCGCACTTGCTAGACAGGCACTAAGCCACTGAGCTATATCCCTGGCCCTTCCCAGAATTCTGAAAGTGAAACTTCTGACTACATCAACCCAGTTTTATTCATGGAAGACAGCCTTAGGTGAGCAGGTCTTTTCCGAGCATCTCAAGCATGTTCATCTCTTTATGGGACACTGCCAGAAATCTACCTGGACAAGACTTGGTTTGTGCCCTTAGAAGTGGACACAGATGTGTGGTAGGGCAATCACTAGGGCTATGGGATTTGGGCAGAAGTACTGTGGTGAGATAAGGATCTGAGCTGGGCCTTTTACAACTGACTGGATTTGCATAATTTGAAAGGCCACTGTGAAGCAGGTGGAGAAATGGGAGCAAGGGTTGAGGCCAGGGAAGCATGTGGTACAGTGTGAAGGGCCTAGTTGGACATGAGTTAACATGGAGCAGTGAGAGACAAAGGCAGCTGAGTGGAGCGGAGGGAAATTATGCTAGCCTAAGCAGCCAGGGCCCAGGCACTGAACAGCCCTAGAAAATCAACACAGGGGTGCACAGAAGCCTCGGTGCAGCAGGGAGAAGTAGGGGGGTGAGCACCCAAATCTAGGCGAAAGTGAAGATGGAGAAAATGATGAGAGACAAGTCACTGTGAAGGGAGACTTGGTAATTGAATAGACAGATATAGGGGACCTTGAACCTCAACTAATGAGAGAATAGAGATGCTGCCTCTTGCAAGGCGAAAACAAAGACAGAAAGGTAGGCCTGTAGGAGTCCCAGGAATGGTAGACCTCTCCAAGTAATTTTCTCTAAGCAATACAGAGTAGGCCTGTCCACCTGGGGAGGTCAATTCAAACAGTGACACAGGCTTCTAGCTAGGAGTCTCTGAACAAGTCCTGGTGTCAGAGGAAAGGGGCATGGAGACACCATCGCCTTGTTCCTGCCATCACCTGCAGAGTCACATATTTTCACAGAAATCTCGATCTTGGCACAGGGCTTCCTCTCTGGATGAAGTCCCTCACTAGTAAAACATAAGCCAGCTGTTTTCTGTAGTTTTTTGTTCCAGATGATTTCCATTTTCTCGGGTAGCTGAGAATGAAAAGCAAACAGAAGGAATCAGACAGCAGTTCTAAACGATTCAGAAAATACTAACCCAAAGGTTTCTTCCCTGTAATAAAAACAGAAACTTTCTTCCTGGGGTTCTTGGCTCATAGCAAGCTGGGGGGAAATCTACTCAAAGGGCACACAAATCTAAGCATTCTGGGAAAAATAAAAACCAAGCAGAAGTCTGGATAAAGACAACTAATAGGCAGTTATGACACAAGGAAAACTGCTGAGACAAGGTGAATTAGGTCTTGTGCTATCCTGCATGGAGACAAGGCAGGCAGAATAGTACAGGCCACCTTGGAGGGTCAGCTGGAACCCCATGTGTTATGTAGTGAAGAAGAAATGAAAATGCAACTCAGAACACTTCCGGTTCTGCTCATTAGATTTAACACCACCGTCCCCAGGAAGGACACCAAAGGCCAGAGAGCCTTTAGGAAAGAGACCTTCCCTCTGGAAAGTCTTGGCACTAGAGGTAATAACTTTTGAAAATCCCAGTATGCTAGCACTAAAGATGGCACTCACTGGTAGAGTGCTTGCTTAGCATGAGAGCTTGTTCTTTGATCCCTAGCCCTACAAAAACAAAACACCAGAATGAGGAATGACTAACAGGTCTCTGCCTCCAAATTCTCTCCAACCCAATCACTGCTCTCAAATTTTTCTTCAGCAGCCACTCCAGCTCACACCACAGCCCTGTGCTTTACAATTTAAATTTAACCTCTTGGGCTGGGGAGATAGCTCAGTGGTCTAAGCACCTGCCTGGCAAGTACAAAGACCCTGGTTTGATCCTTGGCCCCACATGCTGTGGTAGCCCCGGATCCCCAGGTGCACCGTGCAGCCCCAAAACTGGGCATGGTGGCACATGCCTATAATCTCAGCGCTGGGGAGCCTGAGGGAAGAAGATCACTATGAGCCCAAGCTGCATAGTGAGACCCTGTACTAAATAAATAAATAAATAAATAATTTTTTTAATTTAAAAAATAAAAATAAATTTAACCTCCTACAACCTGATGCCCATAACCTGGTCCTACCCTATTGAGAAATCATAAGAACTATAATAGCATAGGCCCTGTTCTAGGCACTTTCTGTATATTAACTTTTGTAGGTTCAATAGTCTTTCTTAGTAGTAAGCACAACTGGCCCTCCGTATCCATGAGTTCCACACATCTACAGCTTCAACCAACCACATATCAAAAATACTTTTTAAAAACTGCAATGGTGCTGAACATGTACTGATTTCCCCCTTCTCCTCATTCCCTAAACAAAATAGTGTAACAACTACTTACATGGTATGTATGTTATATTAGATATTATATAAGTAGGGGCTGGAGAGATGGCTCAGTGGTCTAAAGCACCTACTTGGAACAAGCTTAGCAAAGCACAGGGATCACGGTTCGATCCCCCAGCACCACATGCCAGCCAACCCTGCCCCCTGGTGGGCTGAGCTGGCCACACACACACACACACACACACACACACACAAATAAATTAATTAATTTTAAAAAACATTAAAAAAAGATATTATATAAGTAATACAGAGATGATTTCATGTGAATAACAGATTTGGGTGTGGTGGTGCACACCTGTAATCCCAGCACTCAGGAGGCTGAGGCAGGAGGATCCAATGTAAGTTCAAGGCCAACCTGGATTACATAGCAAAATCCTGCCTCAAAAAAAAAAAATCAATTTCTTTCATAGTTTCTGGGGTTTGTGTCATTCTTGGAAAAGCCTCAAAGGGAAGATATGACTAGATCATATGCAAATATTACACATGAGTATCTGCAGATTTTGGCATTTATTGGGGAGTTTTGGAACCAGTCTCCCATGGATAAGGGGGGATGACTGTACTGGTAGTGCCCCATTTTATAGACATAGAAACAGGCATACTGAGGTTAAGTAACTTCCCCAAGCTTACACTGCTCTTTTCAGTCTGAGTAGTTGAGCCTCAACACTCCAAAAAGAGCTTCACTTCCACCAAGCCATCCCGCCTCGTCACCACTCTGTCTCTCAATCATTTCTCCCCCCACTGATCTCCCCTGGTAATAACCATCTGTCCCATAGATTATAACTCATGAACATTATTTCCTTCAAATATGCACATCTTATCTCCCCACCTAAATGGACACTTCTCAAGGGCAGTAGTATACTCAGCTAGCATACTCCCTGCCCTATAAGAGTGCCATCATACAGCAGGTGCTCAATAAATTCTAATGCATCCATTCTACCTTTTGATCGAAGACAGAGTTGTTAAGAAGCCTGTAGATTCTCTGAACCAGTTCATCCCTATTTCTCTTGAAATTCCTTCCTGAATACCGTTTTGATTTTTCAATGTCAAGGAAGAAACAGTCGGGTATTTGACATCTCGTTCTCCTGCAAAGGTAAATACGATTGCGTTCCATGTAGCTGAAGAAACAGAAGAAATGCGTTAAAGATCAAGCCAAGAGCAGCTGCACACTTGCTACTGTTGCTTGCTTGCTTCCTTCCTTAGATGAGGGCACTTCTCTGGCTAGCCTACCTTTCATAGCCTTTTGGTTTCCACCCTAGGGCAACCAGTTCCCATACCTAGCTGCAGCCTCTTCACTAGTCCTGAATTTACAATTGCCCAAAGCAAATTTCCAACTAACAAGAGTATAGCATATGCAACTGCCTCACTTCTACTATAACTGGCTGAAGACCTCACAGGCATCTTTAACTCATTTTTCTCCCTCATTCCATGTAGAACTGGGGATAGAGATCTTCATCCCAATGGTTCTCCCATTCAGCCCTCCTTCTCAACTTGGGTCTCCTCTTCATCCAATTACACACACTCTTCTCCCATTTGTTTCCTATACCAGTGGTGGCAAACCTATGTCACACATGCTGCAGCAGACTGTATCACTGACAGCTTGAAAAGGTTCACCATCCCTGTCCTAAGCCATATTCCAATTAACATTCCCCTCTTCTTTTCATTGAGTACTTGACCTGACATTCAAGACCTGAGCAACTCAAACATTCCTTGGACATGAATTGTGATTTCCCACACTCATGCCTCAGCCTAAGCTCTTCCCATGGTGATCTCATCTCCACCTCTCCAGAGAACCATCATTTGTGTGTGTTATCACCTGTAAATAATCCCAGGGGAGGCTGAGGCAGGAGGAGCACTGCAAGTTTTAAGGCCAGCCTGGGCTACAAAATGAGTTCAAGACCAGCCTGAAATGTGTAGTGAAATCTTGTCTCAAAAAGACAAAAAAGGTCTTTTTTTTGCATTTCCATATTTAATCCTCACAACGATCCTTCAAAAACGCCACTACTGTTTTTATCATCTCTATCTTATAGAGATAGAGGAAATCAGTGGTCAGAGGTAACTTGCCCAAAGGCCACAGATAATGCATTTTCTGGCTCAATATCAGGATCCTTCCATTAAATCACAACTGCTGACCAACTTTTGATGCCTAATTCAAGTGGCACAAATAATAGTGCTGAGCACATAAAGGACTCATGCATGTAGTGACTATTTATTTAAACTGAAATGTTTTTATATTGGCTAGAACAATTCACATGTCCAGACAAGTGAAGAAGCAAATGCAGAGAGCTTCTGACTGACTACAGGACTCCTGAGACTGAGATTTTGCCAGGATATTTATGCACAATTAAACTGCAAACTAAACCTTATGTGAGGAGGTTGGGGTGGGGGCGTCAGAAAGTACCAGACAAGGCAAGGGAAGATAATGCAAGGGTCTTTTTCTGCCAAAGTTGCATATGTATGATGCAAAAAATTTCTGCCTCCAGTTACCTAGTTTTGAGAACAAATTTGCATCAGAAAAGGTGGCAGAGGGGCAACTCACTTTCTGGGCCCACTTTTGTCTCTCAGATGGAAGCTTTCTCTCTCCCAATAAATTCGAGGAGAGAGGAGAGAGGAGAGAGGAGAGAGGAGAGAGGAGAGA